CACCTCCCATCACATGAAATTCCTTTGTAAGTTTATAAAACAGTGTTCCCCATGTTGCCATGATTTTTTTGGATTTTGTTTTATAATGTTTTTATTCTACATTGTCCGGTGTTGCCATGAATTTTCTGGATTTTAATTTTGTATAGAATACCTTGGTTTTATTTTCTTTTGTTGTTACACATTGCCGCATTTTTCCCAGATTTTTATTTAAATTTCACCTTGTGTATATAAAACAGTTGAGCTTTTTTTCTTGATTTTATTGTTGGAAACTGCAGATTTTAATTTTAATTTATATATATACATATACCAATAGCGAAAACATAATCCAACATGACTAATACAACACTACCATTACTATTACAGTCTAATTGTATATGCTAATTAGTGAAAACAACCAAAAAAAAATTAACTAATACAACTACTATTTTACTATTATTATTTTATTACTATCTACAATTATTATGACCTATTTATCTACTTCTATTTATTTACCTATCTATTATCTATCTATTTTACATGCCAAAGTCACATGGGAACAAAAAAGAATTGCTCCCATTGGGGGTGTAAACTGGTTTTGAGTGGGGGTATTAGTACTTTTTCGCATATGTCTGTGCGCAAACAAAGTTGTGGGAGGTTACACTCAATTGCTCACGTGAATTTCCTCAAACTAAACATATACACGTGATTTTTCACTATCATATCTCTCTCAGTTCTCATCCGTTTCTCGTCAAATCTTTATTAATGGGTGCGTCTTGATGTCCTATACATGTTGTATTATTGGTCCGACTCATCGTTCGGCGATCCTGAGGAGATTATGGCGATTTTACTCATTTCCCATGCACAAACTGTATGGTAATCTATTATATCTCGCTGAATATTGCATCAAATGTTCTATAGTTTTGCGTCCTATCTTATATATTATTAACGCAAAGATTTCATATTTCTTTATATTTTTCTTTGACATCCATGAGGCGCTGGAAGGCGTTTCCCACACACAGACCATGCGCAGAGCAGACACTGTATTCGTATCTCTGTCAGTTCTGATTCGTTTCTCCTCGAGTTTTTTCTAACGGGCGCGTGTTAATGCCCTCTACAATGTGTATTATTACCCCAATCTGACATTCTGCGATCTTGGGGTGCCAAATGAAATTTAATGGAATAATTTATCATATCTCGCTTGATACTGCACCAAATGTCCTGAAAATTTGCGAACTATTCTATAAGTATTAGCGCAAGTACTTGATATTTTCACATATTTTTAAAACATTTGTAAGGTGCTGGAGACCGTTTCCCACACACAGATCATGCGCAGAGCTGACACTGGATTGGTATCTCTGTCAGTTCTTGGCCGTTTCTCTTCGTGTCTTTTGCAATGGGCCCGTACTAACATTTTATATATTTGGTATTGTTAGTGCAACCCGTGAATCAGCATGAATGAGGACGTGGAACGTTTTTTCCACAAATAAAGCATGTACATTAGTTCCTCTGTCAATTTTCATTCGTCTTTCGTCGGGTTTCTTTTAATGTGCCCGTACCAACCCTCTGGTTATTTTCTATTATTGGTGCAAGTCGCGAATGAGCGTTCATGAAGCAGTGGGATGGTTTTTCACAATTTTTCACAAAAAAAAAACATGCACATTCGTATCTCTGTCAATTATCCTTCGTTTCTCGTCGTTTTGTTCGTACATGCTTGTACTAATGCCCTTGTCATTTTATATTATTGGTGCACATCGCGAATGATGGTGTATAAAGCAGTGGAACGGTTTTTTTACATTTTTTCACACAAAAAAAGATGTACATTCATATCTTTGTCAAACCTTGTTCATTTTTCGTTGGGTTTTTCTTCATGAGCTTGTATTAAGGTCCTCTATTATTGGCTTTAGTCGTTAAACAGCCTGTATGAGGCGTGGACACTGTTTCCCATGCACACAACTCATGCTGGCATGGGCTACAACTCGTATCTCTCTCAGTTTTCAACCGTTTTGCATGGAGCCTTTTGCAATGGGTTCGTTCCAACGTCCTCTCCATTCGTTATTATTGCCTCACCACAGGTTATCCAGCACAATGCCACAATGCCACCAACAGCCTTGAGCGCGGGAAAAGCTTATATAATTAACTCTCAAACAATACATTCAACCTCACTCAAGTATATTACTGCGTTTTTGAGGGAATCTGTCAATTTCCAAGTGAATGGGGTATCAATATGTTTGTCAGAAATCAGCTCAAAAATGATCAAATTTCAGGGATTTTTTATTTTCAATACAGTTAGGTTTGTATTGCACTATAGTACGTTTAGTGCTGCACTGCCATTCTCTGTTCCCTGTTGATGATGAATATGCTGCTCTCATTGATGATGACTGCAGCACTAAACATACTGCTTGGCTCTCCTCCACGCATCATCTCATGACCAAACACACCTCTCCAGAGATGAAGCACCTCATTATCCTGATGTCTCAAACCCTCTCTACCAAAGAGGTTGCACAGGCTGCCCAACTCAGCGAGCGCATGGTTCACCGGGTTATCTCAGCTCATAGGCATGAGAAAGCTGGCAACCGTGGGGGTACTCGCAAACTCAACAACTGGGATCTGGATGTGAGCATGAGTCATATCTGTGCATACCCGATCCCGACCTGACTCCCGGACCTCCTCCTTCACCACCTCCGGAGTCCTGCCCTACTGCTGTCCGTTCCGATATTCACCTTCGGTCCTGACACCACACCTCCTCTCACCCCCCATGCCACCTCCACTCCTCCATCCCTCTCCTGTCCTATCTCTGTCCGCTCCGATACTCACCTCGGACCGAACACCACTCCTCTCGCCACCCTCTTCCTACTCCTCCCACTCCTCCGCTCCCTCCTCACAACACCTCCACCCTTCCGTCATCCTCCTACTCTTCTCCTGTCTGCTCCGATACTCACCTTCGGACCTGACAACCCTCCTTTCCACCACTCTTCCCTCTTTCCTCCCTCTTCCCTCTGGTCCTCTTCCACCGACCTCCCACCAAGTTACGACCTTCCGCTGCTGTCCCGTACCTCGTACTCGGACACCACTTGTACCTTCGCTCCGAGACTCCGTCATAGCTCCTACCTCGGACTTTGACTCCACCTCGGCCTTAGTCCATTGCATTGGTGACCTCATACTACGTAAACACCATTGCCAATATTCCTCAGACTTTCAACCCCACCTCCGTAAGCTCCAAGCTCCATGGATCATCTTCGGCTCTTTTGCCACTTGTAATGTATCTCTCGCGTTTTCCCCTCATCCCTATTTGGACTGCTGCTTCTTCCCATTCTAGCCAGTTAGTCATCATCCCCACTTCCCCTCATCTTCCTGCCCCTCTGGGCCTCGCCCTCCTTACCTCCTTTCGGACGTACCACAGGTTCTGCTTTATGACCTTTGGTACCGCTCCGCTTATCCCTTTGTCCCATTTGGACGCCTTCATTCCGATTCGGATCCCCTTTGTTTCCTTGTGCTTTCGCCCTCTCCATTATATATATCGGCACTTGTACATACTTGTTTTAGTCCTTAGTCTAAAATCGACCTGAAATGCCCCCTAGAGACTTCCTGCTTGCCTCCTATGAAATTAAGGACCAAATGGACAAACAGCAATGGCACAGCGCTCCGCTTGAGTCGCTGAGGCCAAGGTCCCTCCTTGCTAAGTCTCCGGTTCCCCTCCGGAATCATCCACCCTCACCCAGTTCTAACAGCATGATAAATCACAGCCATCTGTTGATTTCGCTGAATCCCTGAATAGCTGATACAAGGTCATCTCAAGCTCAAGCCAGATCTATATCTCCATGAACTACAATGTATATTAGAGAGATACAATCATGTCTCTGTATGCCAGAGTACGATCTGGACCAGCCTGAAGCAGCAAGGTTTTACATACAACAAGGTGGATATTTTCACATTTTATTCAACATTCTGAAGAATTTATTCCTTGTGATAGTTGCAAAAGCTGGCTTTTGAATGCAATGAAGAACTCTGTGCTACATTTAGGCAGTATATGGGTCGGCACTATCAAGTGGATCAGCTTGTTTTTGTTGATGAAACTGGTTGCAATTGTAACACTTCTTCACACTCACATGGCTGGGCACCATCTGGTGACCAAGCGCATCACCGGGACTTCTTTGTCCAAGGCACTAAGTATGTAACATGCTCCAAATCTGTGCTTCAATCCTAACATTCCTTTCTCAGGTACTCTATACTCCCTGCTCTCAGTGTTGAAGGAATACTCCATGCAAATATTCAGGAGGGAGCATTCACAACAGCCACATTCAACGACTTCATCCGTTCTATTCTCCTGCGCATGAACCCTTTCCCTCTCCCTCGGTCTGTTCTGATTATGGATAATGTGTCGATCCACAAGTCTGATGAGCTTGAGCAAATGTGCGCTGACCAGTATGTGTGCACCTGTAAGGAAGGGGTGGTGATTTACTTATTCCTTTATTATTCCTTGTTGTACTTTTGTATTTACATATGTATGGTGCGGAGTTGGGTAAAGGGTTCTTTACTCTTCTCCACACCAACGTCGAATACTAAGTTCTATACAAACTAGATATCGATGACCTGAGGACTGAAGAGGCACCAAGGTCGGCACCTACACCGACCTTACAGCACCACAATCACCAAACTCGCTCTCACTTGATATTGTAGAGGTATTCATCTCATCTTTCTCCCTCCCTACTCCCCAACTTGAACCCAATTGAAGAAGCTTTTTCTGCAATCAAACACTGGCTTCGTCTCAATAGGAACTGCGTTGACATTGTCTTATCTGGGAGGGATATGAATGCTGCCAAAGTTCTACTCTTTGAAGCGGTATACTCAGTGACTGAAGTCTCAACACGTGGCTGGTTTAGCCATTCAGGCTATTTGGCTTAGATGACGTACATAATTGTTAGAATAATATGCTATTTTCTGTCCTAAAAGTGCTCAGTAACACGGCAGCTTGGTGACTTTTTTGACAGTAAATACATGCTGTGTGTGTGCACACTTGTCCTCTAACATTTTGTGTACTCTATGTCAAAATCATCAGCAGAACTGTCGCTGCAAAGGTTGAAAATAACAGGATCCTTCTTCTTGGAAGGTCCTGGGATGGGGGAAGATGAAAGATCAACAAAGTCAGTTCCGACTTTGGATGAACGGCGACAGAGAAATACTGGTGTTATTGGGTCAGAAGAAAGGATGATGGTTTCTTTTTCGGGCTCTTGTTTGGCTGGTATCATGTCAACCTTGACCTTCTTTGCTGGAGGGCTGGTGACTTTTTTGGATTTAGTAGGGGTTTTTGGTGGACTGGTGTTGCGTGAACGCTTCTTAGATTCTTGATGCTGCTTCTCATTGACAACCTTGGTCTGTTTTCTCAAAGCTGCCACATCAAACCAGTGATGGGCTGGGGGGTTGTGGAGATCAACTCCGGGGATGCGGTCAGTCTGCAATAACCATAAGCTCAATGCTGGTGTGATTACAGTGAATTACACATACCCACTGTTGCACCCATAAGGACAGCGTCGCATTGCTAAGGTGAAGGTGTTTTCCCCTTGCATGTGTATGTGGCCAACAGTAACTACGACATCTATGACACTCCCATTGTTTTTCGAGTATGGTGTATTTTTTGGAAGCCGGGTTGGACAAGATTGTGTCATTTAGAGTATTGGACCAACGACTTTTTCCATGTTTCCCAAGGTCTTCAGCTTTGGGTACTGGTTTCTGGTGGGTTTGTGTATTGGGAATAAGCGCCACATCATGTAGGTATGGTTTCTGGGACTTACAATATTGATAATGTATAATTTTTTACTTGTTCTGCTCGAGACATGCATTCGCGAAGTTCACACAGTGCCTTTTCCATCTGCTCCACAGTCTTGAGTTGGATTGGAGTGTCACATCACCGCTTTCCATCAAAGGTTGGAAGATAGCCAATTTTGTGCTTGGTAACATTAGCATCCATCCCTTCTTCAATCTTGCAGAGTGCAAATGATGCGGAGCAGTCAATGGGGAGATAGAAACTCGCTTCTGTTGTTGCCTTGTCAGGATTTAGTGTATTACATTGGTAGCAGATTTCAAGTAATTCTGTGCGAGTGTCAGGGGACGACTCCCGGGTCCCCATGACTCTCCCCTATGGTCCACAGCCTGACCTATGAACAGCCCTGTCCAGGGCAACAACTACTGTGGGTAAGGAGATGAATAGATAAAGGCAATGTAGAATACACTTGCCTACTGTGGGTAAGGAGATGAGAAGGAAGCTAACTTCTCATCTTCCCACAGTGGCCACAATATCAGCAAAACTTCCGGGGATACCCGGAAGTCACATGAAGGGGTAGGAACCGGGCCCGGAGCATGCGGCACACGGAGCGTGCGTGCATGCGGGAAGCACGGCGGGTGGAAGCGGGTCCAGACGCGGGTCCGGGTCCGGGCTAGTCAGGGTGAGTGCCCTGACAGCGAGTTATTGAGTGAAGTTCATGAGCAAAAGAACCACATACTTTCTCCTCTTCTGTCAGATCGAGATTTCGATGGCAACTTCATGTCGGGTGCTGGAGCAAGCATGGCAATAGGGGGAGAGCCTCCTGAAGGAGTAGTAGATTGTTGAGGGAGGAAGAGGGACAGTTGGCTAGGAAAGGGAAGAAGGGGGTACATGATTGGGTATGCGGTGTTGAGTCAGGGATTGTGTTGTCACAGCTTGCATGGAATGGGGGGAAGTGGTCACTGGTTGTCCTTGGTGTTTACACTCTTGTTCGGCTTTCTGCTTCCGCAAAATAAAAGTTTCACATTGGACACGTGTCGGATTATCAAGCTGGAGTGCTTCCCCTGAATGTAAAGTCAGCATTTCTCGAACTACATGAATCAGAATTCCTACAATTTGGTGGGAATGGGATGGCCCAGCTTGAGGGAGGCGAGTCATGAGCTGAGGGATCAAGAGCGTCAAGGACTCTATCGGAGTTATCTGGCAAGAAGAGTGCATCACCCCTTGTGAAATACTGCTGGAAAGCCTGCAGCGGGGTTTTGGGCAGTGGGCATGGAGCTAACCCCAAAATGTGATCATCATTCCAGCACAGGCGCTTGTCTTTATTCTGTACATAATAGTTGAGATCAAACATAGTGTTGAGAATGTGAGGCTGCATTCTCAGAGCGGATCTGGCTACTCAACAACTCTGCCTCCACTGGGGCCTGTATTTATTCTTTAGCTTGACATTGTACCACTACAGATGTCTCTGTGAGGGTCCTTCTGTTGAGGTTTCTAGAAGACAGCAGAGACATGCTGGCGTTATTGTCTCTTGCACTTTGACATTGGGTGCATCATCAAAATATTAGAAATAATTCATGAAAGAGGGAAACTAAATAGCCTCACACAGTCTGATCATGGCTGATGTCAAGACTGAGATTGACAGCTGAGTCTTAGCAATGTAATCATCATCAATGGGGAACGGAAAATGGCAGTGCAGCGCTAACGTACTATATTGCAATACAAACCTAACTGTATTGAAAATAAAAAATCCCCGAAATTTGATCATTTTTGAGCTGATTTCTGACAAACATATTGATACTCCATTCACTTGGAAATTGACAGATTCCCTCAAAAACACAGTAAGTTGTCAGGGACTCATCTGGGGTCGAGGGAGCCTGGGTGTAGCGTCTGGGGCTGAGAGCCTGGCGGGGGGTGGATCGGGCATGCATACTGACAGGCCCGATGTGGGACGACGGTCCCTGGCCACTTAGACTGAAGTGGAAATATGAGAAGAAGGCTACTTCTTTGGTTCCCACTTCAGGTATGTTTATATACATGCAGCTTAGGTCACCTGACGGATGCCATGTCACCCTTGCACACAGCCGTAATCACCCAGGTGTCTCCATGGGAGATCCTGAGGGCATCCGGTGCGAGCACGTTGTAGGAGAAATAACGGCCACACTATGGAAACCCATTATGGAAATATGCCAGATAAATCACAAAACCTCATACGACAAGTAGATATGAGAACATAGAAGGACCTGAATTTTAACGAATTATTATGACTATACACGATAAATCGAAAGAAAGAAAAATAACAAAAATACTTCAAGCTTACCATCAACGAGACGGAATTCTCGGGGGAATTTATAGCAAATATTAAACCAAGAATTAGGACAATCGACCAAGATTTGACTATAAAAATAATCAGAGAACCTCCACGGAAACTACTTTCCCACGTCCGCACACGTAGCAAGGATGGAAGTACCACGGAACAAAGATTCCTCAGGAACTAATGCAAAAGTCAAAGTCGTGTTTATAATAGGAAATGTAGATGTCACCCAAACGGAACCAATGAGAGTAATTACAGGGGAAACTACCCATAAACGACGGAGATATGACTAAAGCTCCTGCAAAACGAGGACAATGTCTAAAAAGCAAGCGCGAAGATTAACTAGTAACGACCGAGACAAGCTTGATAGCCCATTAGAAAGAAAAGAATCTACTCTTAATCCTCCCAAATTTCCATAATAAAAGGATCATGCGTTAATGAGAAATCCAATAACGGGAATAGCGACATCAAAAGTCCGAGCTCAGGGACAAGACGATGATTGCGTAGGATCCATAATTAAAACATACAACGAAATTTACACGGAAATTATGAAAAATAGGAAACTATAGTTATGCAAATTCTCAGCCCAAACGGTCCAGCCGTTGTGAAGTTATACCCATGACGGGAATATAGGAATCCGCATCATGTGTAATGACACGTGAGGGTGGCGATGCGCAAGGAACCGGCCGTCGGAACCGAGATCCGCACTTCGGCAGATCGCGAAGACCAATTTCCGTCCAAATAAGGAAGAGCCCGGTCAAAACAAAGCACGAAAAGTGCAAAACAACCTTAGATCATGAGGGAAAAATCTGAAATAAATCACAGAAGCCCATATGAAAGAAATAAACACCTGCGCATATCATAAATCCCGAACAACTAAACGAAAACGGCTCCCGCATACGAACAACTATGGGAACGATGCACATGATTACCGAATGTGCGCGCGAAACTTTGCTAACTCAACGAATACAGGGAAATAGGACACAACCTTAGTACCATTGGAAAGGTGGGAATAAATGAAAATTTATGATACCAAGAACGTGAGAAAACATCCAGAAATGAATGAGATACAAGGACATGAAGTTAGAAACCTGAAAACACGCGGGAAGACAGCTTCAAGAGGTCTAGAGCCCTAAATAAAATACATAAAAATATGATATCTTCGAGGACGACCTACTATAACAACGAACAATACATATGGAGGATTAGGATGTGATAATACAAAGGGGAATCAGGGAATATGAACGAAATTCACAAAAACTACTAAACTACGACGGACCATGGCGGGAATTTTAGGGAACGATGTTCTAATGAAGTAGAGAGCTATAACACATTCGTTTGAGTAATTCTTGATTACTAGCAACTTTTTCTTTCAGTTTTAAACCTGAATAATTCACTCATTTATCATTTCAGTCTCATTTTAACTAAATGTCACTAAATAAAATTGGAATAAATCAGCTGAAGGTCTCAGCACAGTCGCACGCATAGTAATGCGAGGTTTGAATTCAGTATGACCGAGTCATAGCGAACTTAATGGGAAATATGGGGAATTTGAAATAGGGAACTGCGGCAAATGCGGCGCAGACAAATTCTAATTAACCATTAAAATAGCTTAGGCGAGGAAGGACAATAAGGATTCCAGGCGCAGTCTGACCGCAGTAGAGCCGCAGTTCAGTGCAGCAAAGCGCAGTGGAACTATAGCGTGAAAATTTCACTTTTTATTCAGTTTGAGAAAAATACACTGTAAATAAATCCTGTAAATAGAAGGTAGAGCGTGAAAAAGGAAGGCGACCCAAGGAGTATAAAAGGGAGACCCTTTCTGCGACTTTTCGCCCCCCTTAGAGAAGTAAGAAAATAGAGTATTATTTTTCTCAAGCATTTCTGGTTGTCACTCCAGTGCGAAAAAGTGATATACAGTTAAGATTGCCACTGTAGTAAAAGGCAGCAATTAAGGAGAGAAATATTAAGTAGATATTTCAACAGGAGAGCTGGTTAACACTCCAGATTTCAAAGTGTAAACACAAAACAGTTATTTTGCTACTGTTAAAACAAGCAATAAAATAAGACAAAAATAAAACAAACTCAAGGGACACTCCAGACACCATCCAAATTCATTAACTGAATAGAATCTTTGAAACTTCACCAAGTAGAAGATTAAATTCAAGTTTAAATCCAAATTAAACAACGCTACACAGAATTACACCTAGACAAATTAATAAATTTCAATAAAGAAACAGCTCCGCAGGGCTCGGTTTATCTGTAAGTCAATTCCCAGAAACTTTAAAACTAACCCATAAAAATAGAATTAGCCAAAACACTCGGATTGGTACTATATTTACAATAAACAACACTAGTACACTTCCCCATCCTAACTAAAGAACCAGGGAACAGCTTGGTGGTGGTCTCGTTTGAACCTCCCAACTGACCTTCCTTCGTTCTCTCCTTCAACGTGTGCTGGGCACAGCAGGGGGTCACCCAAGGTGTCCATGCCAGGTGTGTTGTGGGTGTGCTGTAGTGGGTCAATGTGTCAGGGACGCATCCAGGGTAGAGGGGGTCCGGATGTATCGCCTGGCAGAAGGGCCCTCATGGGGTGTGAACCGGGCGTGCGTGCTGGCAGGTCCAAGAAGGGACAGCAGTCCCTGGCCACTTAGACTGAAGTGGAGAATGTGAGAAGAAGGTTACTTCTTCGGTTCCCACTTCAGGTACATTTATGTACATGCGGCTTGAGTCACATGACAAGTGCCATGTCATCCTCGGAGACAGCTGCAGGCATCCGGGTGTCCCTGTGGGGGATCCCGAGAGTGTCCGCTGCATGTGTGCATGCTGGGCACAGCGGGAAGCTGTCCAGGGTGTGTGGGCCGGATGGGTCAATAGTACATTGATACAAAGGAAGGTGGTCCATGTAGATAGAAGGAAATAAACAGGAAGAGGAAGATGAGAAGAATGAAATAAAGGAAGGAGAAGAAAGAGGGAAAAGAAAGGGGAAGAGAGGGAGGAAGGAGGAGGGAGAGGGATGGACAGCGGGGAGTGGGTGTGGTGTGGCCGGGTGGGTCCGGGTGGACCCGGGTCAGGTGGGTGTGCCCTGACACAATGGTACATTGATACAAGGAAAGGTCGTCCATGTAAAATAAAGAGAAGATAAATGTCAGGGCACAGCCCTTGACCCCACTCACCCTCAGACACCCTCACCCTTTCCCTAACCACCCTCCCCCACATTTCCCCATTCCCCCTATCCTTCCCCCCCACTGTTTCACACAATGATGCGCATGCACGAACCCGTGGGAACGTTCTGGGCGAGCGACTTGCCCAGAAATGTACAGCCACGACCGTGGGAACATTCTGGGCAAGCTGCTTGCCCAGAACTTTCCCACGGGTCACACCCGATTATGGAAAGTCGGCAGCAAGCGGGAACTGTATAGTTCCTAGGGTCCTTTTGTGTCAGCCTCACAGGGGGCTGATGTTAGAGATGGGATTATTGTCGGAGTCGGAAGTACTGTCAGAGTCAGAACACTGTCAGAAGGTGGATAGAAGGTGGATTGGGTTCTGTCTGAGTTGAGGTCGGAGGTGATGCAGAGGTCT